ATCCTATGGAACCACAAGCATGAACTCTTTGGTAATTCCTATAATAAAACATTGCCTTTGAAATGCGCCCCTATGCTAAAAGCACTAAAACAAAACACGAAGCAGGTCGCATTTGCGCTTATGTTTACTTTTCGGTACAAACAACACCAGGAGTTGGAGGAGGCTGGTTATGTTGCTCAGTCCGGCTCCATTGGTCAAGCAATTGGGCCTTATCAGTCACATTTACCTATGCTGCACCGAATGCGTTGCTATTGCAGATTCATTGTGTATCTTGCAGTGGATAAGCTGAAATTTGTCAACTTATTTGATTATCGTATATACTACTGGAGAAAAACGGGAACAACTGTTAAGAACTGCATTTAGCAATTGGCCACTTTAGTGTTCATCAGCGGTTAATTCGAAACAAGTGCACCGCTGTTATGTATATGTAAATTGTTGGCACGAAACTTATTCATCACGCATACACACTTTCAGTTTACCTCTTATGTCAGGTAAGTAGATTGTTTGACGTCTAAATATAGTTGAGAGTGGGTGTTTGCATCAACGGATTTCACCAGCTCCAACTCCTCTCAAAATGCCCCCTAGACGATCAACTTTCACAGCTTCTATTGGAGGTCTTAATTACCGTCTTGTAGTGGCGTTTTTTTTACTTAGTACAGATGACGAGGAGCCAATATCCCGACCAAGTTAGCTTTTAAATTAACTATGATGTGGTCCCTGAACAAGGTACAAGACTACCGATTTAATGGAGTGATATATATATATATATATATATATATATATAGCGTAAGNCATTCTACACCACCTCAGAGAATATGGTTGATAGAACTCAGTCACTAGGGAAAGTGTCGGTATGCTCAAGCAGTGCATGAGTTTGGTCAACCTTCATCATGGCATGAAGTAAGTGGGTTGGCTTACTGGATCATACATGTTGCTTCTTCAGTCCCAAGAACTAGTCAGCCAGTCGCAGAAACGCGGATAGGGCAACGCCATTGGCAGTGACTAAGTCATTGAGTGAGTTGCGCATAAAGGTCCAGTGTGGTAGTGTGTGCACAACCGTTTCGCGGAGCGTGAAATTGGAGCGTGGTGCACCGCACATTCAAACCTCTTCACAATGCATTTGGTAATCGGCTGATCGCAGATGCGCGAATGCAGCTCTAGCGACAGTGATTGAGGGATTAGGTCAGATATGTCTTAGGTCAATGTGCGCACGGATCATACTTCATGAGTGACAGAGCTGGGAGAAGCGTTGATTTCCAACCAACCTGTACTACATACGCTTGTTTCAACATGCCTAAGCCAGTTGTTTACAACCGGCAGTCGTTCGGTTAATTCCGGCGTGTCCGTTAGGTACTGCGCTGCGATAAAACCCGTTTCAAATCACGTGCTGCATGAACGCCAAGGCCTTTCAATCCCATGGAGTTTATAAACGCATAAATATGCAATCAATGCAACTGACAGAGCGGGATTAGGAACATATGAAACTTACTGAACAAGACTGCCGAATAGATCTGAGCTAACCCGCAACAGCCTTGGAACGAGTCATGTGATTGAAAATTGAATGAAAATGATACAGAGTTTCGCCACCGTCTTGTTAGTTTTGCACTGGCAAAAATATCATTTCAACAGACGGACCGTCCATTTGCACTTTGATCCACAGCATGAATCATACAACCGAACAAAGAGAGTGTTCCCACCAATGATTACGGACACGGATCATTGTGATGTAATCGGCATTCGCCCAACTTCACCACGATATGTCCGTCATATTATCCTGTGCATAACGCGTCCGACGGATCAAGTGAATTTCGGATTTGACATACAGATAAACTTGAAAAAAAAACTACCATCAAAACACTGTTCATAGCTGGCCATAGATTGCTTGTTCCGGCCTAAACTGATTGAAGAGCGTTGCGACAAAGTTAATGGATAGAGCGAAATGGTTCAAAGATGACGGGAAAACATGCAGAACCGTCTCCTGAGATTGCATCCACACGGAATTCTAGTTATCAATCATCAGCAGATCCGCTCATTAGTCGGATTTTCTAGTCTTACTGTCAGCTAATTTCTGCAATCTATGGTCTTGGATTAATAACCTGTATCCCATGAAGAACGACTGTACATTTGTTGAACATCGGATAACAAATTAAAGTATAAATTATTCATTTTTGTTACTGCAGGCATTGATGGAAGTCGTGAAACATCCTGATGTTCGTTAGATCTCTTCCACCCAACTGCTGCGTGCTGAGTCTGATTCACGGGGTTGAATACATATGATATTGTCCCACCACACCAGACAAAATATGTGTAACAGTATCCACTACTTATGTTGTTATTGTTTCTATCCGTCGCACTATTTCCTGACTTCGACGACAGTTGCTAGTGCATCAGTTGTAAGATAATAAAACCTGAGTAGAAAAACATCATAAGAGTTGATTAATAAAAATGAGTCAGACATGACAAAGGTATTGTAATTTTACCTGGTGAATGCCAGCACTTGGGCCAGCCGTTTGGATATGGAGTCCGCCAAGTTAACAATAAAATTGAATTTGTCAATTTCTTTTAACACATGCCACACCCAGGCTAACGTCGAGGTGGCTAACTTATATCTGTCTTCAATACAGGCGAAAGGTTATCGATTACATTCGGATCCGGGCTGTTGGGCGGTAACTGAATGAATTCAACTTTGGAGAATGTCGATCCATAAACTGTATAAATTTTAAAAAACGGTATACAACGAGGTCCCAAGAATGTGATATTGAGCATTATCTTGGAAAGATATGGTCCTTCGCAAATGCATTGCGAGCGTGGTACTCAGCGAAAACCCGCTTGATCAGTGCAACCAATTTAGCACCAACCAGAGTCTCACGTGCGGGAGCACAGTATTCAATTGCTACCAAACTCATCCTGTCATTTGAATGTTTATGACCGACGAAATGGATTTGTTTGGAAGATTCGGTCTATAGATCACCATTCTTAGCCTGGTGTTATGCTCGTCAATTGCCAGACATTCGTCAGTGAGATAAACCGAGCACCGCAAAAACCGCCGATGCGATTTGAACTCGTTAATACGTGTCCCGCCTAGTCGGGAATTTAGTAACAGCCTTGAGTCAGCTAACTCCAACCCTAGTTCAAATTAAGCTATCCATTACNTTACGAACGGTGGCCTATGAAAATTACGGTTCATTCGCCCGCACTATCCTCTCTATTGCCTGTTTGCAGCTTTTCTCATCTGCGATTGAATGCAATAATCGTCTTGCTTTGATGTGGTCGGTTTTCTTCATCGGTATTGCTGTTCTGAGGGAGAAATACCCTTGATTAAGTTATAGATTTAGCATACGTTTACATATGTCGAACTCATGCGCTTCTCAAATACCTTGCCTTTCGGTTTCATTTTTATATCTAAAACTCTAAAATGTTTCACTCGGTTAAGATATGATGACATTACAAAACGGTTATTCAATTAGTCGGAAACCACAGGGTCGAAACTCTTGAAGGTATATTTTCACGTTCCTCGGAACGGAGTTGGACTCCGTTCACGGAGAAAGATTGATTGAAGGTGAGCGGTTTGCAGGCAAATAATTTGTTCTCGTTGATTAGGTTTATCCCAAATCCATAGCTCTCTTTCGGCATTACTCTGATCGATGCACTAATCCTTCGGAATCCGAGGATTCAATAACCATGCGCTCGTGTCTCACACCACAGTGGTGGATCGGATGTTTCTCTCTGTTGCACCATTTCGCTGCCTCGTTCTGTACCAAACACCGTTATTTCTGTCATGTAACAAAGACTTGTCTACTCAAACGCATAGGTGCCACAAAACCCAATTTCATCATCAAACATAGAGGGACGGCTTGTTGTTTTGTTCTCTCCACCCACTCCACCCCCAAGGGGTCAAACGTGAAACGAATAGCCTGATTCATGATCTATTTTTCATTTTTCAAGCAGTAATCACTTGATTTTTTTTAATCGTTTTACTCCCCCTTCCCCTCGAACGAACTCTAATAGTGCGTTTGTATCTTCACTCGATTCCCTCGGCGCAATCGATCAGTCGCATTCTCCCGAGCATCTTTCTGCAGGTGGATTGCAAATAACCATTTATCTTTGTTTAAACCAGTTCGGTGCCCATCTACATTTTCAATCCTTCAAAACGAGAACCCCACTTTAATCACGCCCCGAAACTCGGAATCTAGCACTTTTAAAGTACAGTACAAATGACAAATCAGCAGAGATTATGTTCTGAGAATACTCGTGAATCGTGAAAGACCACAAACTTGTATCAGAGTAGAAAAAAAAGCCCATAAATGTTCTTTATTATATACATCAAAAATACCTACAAAACACCTCAACCTCGAAAAATGTACGAGACTAAAAGTAAGTCGCATACCCTTCGCTGAATGCAATACAAAATGCTTCTCAGTATGATATTGTTGTTAATTTGGCTGAATTTATCTTATTAATGTTTTTTTAATCAGCGAACTGTATTGTTCTCAACAATCTAGTACGGAAACACTTATGGGTTTGGTCGAACGATTGGGAATGCGGTTTCGAGAATAAAAAAACCTATCACGGAGGTCACGCATCTCAAAAAGTAAATCTGCACCGGTTAGGGACAATCGCTTCGCTAAAGGAAACGAAAGTGAATGACACGTGTGAGCTGAGTCCTTTTACGTGATATTTTTAGTTATGATCGTAAAATATCGCGTATTATCGCTCCTTTGGGATTTGCACTGACCGCGTCGAATATTGGAGAAAAGGAAACAGACAACTGTTATCGATCGTCATCACGTGCACAAATACCACACACACCCATGCCTAGTACGCCTGCTTCATTGCCTGGCCAGTCCGACCGATTTGCCTGCCTTACCGATCAATGGCGTACATGTGCCGGAGAGTTCGATAGCCATTATAGATCGAGAACAACCGAAATGACCAAAAATTTGAAAAAGTACACAATTCGCACAAGCACACGTACCCCAGATGTGCCAGAGTTGATCGAATCGCCCGCAGGACCCAACATATGCCCAGTGGGATTCCCCAATGTGGACCCGTCAAGATTACGCTCTGGTTGAGTGTGACGAAAACTAGATAGAAAATTGCCGGTTGTTGGGGTTGAATCTCCGTCGATGGAATCCGCGATTGAACGTGCACACTGTATTGGAAGAATGTGGTATGATGATGGTCTTTTCGGGTCCGGTCGACACGGCAGCAGATTGGCTCGATGCAACGAACGTATCAGGCGTGGGACATCTTTTTGAAACACAATCCGGTCTTCCGGCTCAAGATACATACTGTGACAGTTCATTGAATGTAGCATGCTGCACAGACAATCACAAATTAACAATATCAGAAAGGGGATAAATTAGCCTCTTCCACTGAATTGCATCGATAAAATCATTAGAAGTGATCCATTCAGAATCAAAATACAGTGGCAATGCACTGAGCAGTTTGGCTGGTTATTTGATTTTCACAAACCGGGCGAGTGAATGGACATAAAAGACCACACAGTGTTGCAATGTGTTTGTATAGTTATAGATGTTTAGTTTTACAGGTATTTTTTCCAGTTGAATGTCACACTTAGCTTTGCTTTCACTGATGTCACGGTTGAACAGAGCATCCACATGCCCATTTCATACCATTATCATAAAAACTTATCCAGTTGTCATGAGATGAACAGAATATAAAACCGTGTTTGAAATCGGTACGATAAACATGCGATATTGCAGATTATAGGCTAGCTGATACATCCTCGCTGAATCTCGAAGTGGACTAAGGAAATAACATGCGTTATAGCGACAGCATCAATGCGAAATTTACAATGGGTAATATGTATGCACCCAAATTTGGTTTGGTCAAGATAATGAAGCCTTCATCGGAACCGTACCGCGAACGAACTAAAGCCAAACCACGCCGTACGGAATTCCATCCCACTTGGTTTAGATATTCCGCCTCGTCAAATGGACATTTTGGAAAATTCTATTTATAATCCGCTTTCGCGGAAAACGTCCGACTATGAATAGCCTACGCACAGTTCCTTCTATAGGTGAACAGTTTCAATTCTACTGGAGATGAACAAGACTTGGTTGTTGACTGAAGAGACTATCATACGGTGCGCCTGTTAAATCAACTGCTGAAATTGTTCTACTAACCGCCTTCCCGCGGTGACGTTTTTACTCAAGCAAGAAGGCCAGGGTTAGAACTGGCGTCATGGAATAAGGACAGCGAGTGCGCCTGAAGGACCTGAAAAGTTCCGAAAGAATCCGTTTGGTTTGTAGGCAAACTGTAGTGAGTCGTTGGAAATGTTCATTTTATAGATTATCTCACGTGAATAAAAATAGCCCTTTTAGTAAAATATAAGTCAGCAGATGGCATGGGAATGTTTGGAGGGAACAGAAGAGTTAAGTGCTTGAAGAATCGGGATCACTGTGATCGGACTTCAGTAGTGTAGAGCAAACAAAAAGGTGAGTGATTTCACTAGGATGGTGATCAATTACCAAGGTAGAGGAGCAGTAGTGACGCGGGTAAGCCATCAAGGACCAGTATCAGAAAGCACCTTTGAATTACGCAACAAACAGAGCACACAAGTATTTGCGAACGGCTTTAAATTGCTAATTCCTGTGACGACTAATAATGATAACAACAAAATCGAGCTTCTGTTTGGTTAGACTATAACAGAGACCGCATCTCGGCTTGTCTACCTCTATGACCCAGCGAGCTACGCAGGAAGGCCAAAAGATTACTATGCCTGGATACTCAGAACCGCGTTGCCCATTGCGTCGCGCGGAGTGGGTGGTGATAAGCGGGATATCTCCCAGATATCCCAACCTTTGTCTAATTCTTTGTTTTCCGTACCCAATCCTCTTCTTTGCCCCGTTCTTCCGACCTATAACAGACCCTCGGGCAACTCGTTCGTCGCTTGCCTAAGGTCTTCGCCCGATGGCACTAACCTATTCCCGCTTTGAAACTAAGTGGCCAGGAATTAGTTATAGTAAGTTGCTTTGGCTACTTAGGTAGCGCAGCAAAGGAGATAACCGCCCGCATTTTCAAGGCTCGAGCAGTATACGCAGGACTTAAGTACCTGTGGCGACGAAGTGACCGTTCACCGTCCGGTCACTTCTGTGAGACCTTGAGTTTGCGAGTAGATATTCATAGGCTTAGAGTTCTGGACCATCAGTGCTTACGTAGTTTGGTCCAGGTGGGAGAGAGTGAGCGGATTATCAACCTAGAGGCAAGTCGCCGTGTGTTTGGAAGTTTATCGGGGATAAACCTGGTAGTGCATCGGATTCAGGTAAGTAGGCTTTGCTAGTTAGTGCACGTATTGCGTATGTCCATCCGTCGTCTCCCTTATCGCTCTTTACTCGCTGTAGCTGCTCCGGGCTGGGGAAAACTCATGGAGGTCAACAGATGGCGTAGAGACGAGTCAGGAAAAGTCGAGGAATTTCAACTAACTTCGATAAAAAAAGGTTGACACATTTTTGGTGCTAGTCGATAACCCCAGGGTCATCATGGCCCTTTTAGTGTTTATTTTCAAGTATCAGTAGCGTCATCCAAACCATGGAGTTGATTGCGCTGTGAGGCGAAGTGTTCCCAAAATAAGTTACTATTCTGGTGACGGACACAATGTGTTGAGCATTGGTATCTGCACTTTCAAACTATTTCAACAAACAGTCCGTTTATGTATTCACTGGGGCACAGATCAATGAAAGAAAACAGGAACGACATTGATAACGAGTCAGCACAATACTTACATACAATAAAGCTCATGATCTAGCCATAGTCGTGTTTGTTCATCCGAAACCATGTGCAAGAAACCCCGTGTTACACGAACAGTACGAACAGCGTGTACATACTCAGACGAATCGCGCAAGAAGTGAGCAATCTTCAGACCGAATAGAAGACGGGAAACAATGGGATCAGTTGAGCTGGAGCCTGAGATACGGACGGGCATGGTCGAGTGGGTNGGTTCTCTGTGTCAACTGAGTGAGTTCCTGTTCGAGAACGTGTAAAAGTCGCAAGGATAACTGATGCGGTTCAATCAGTGGTCGATGATCCGGATCGCGAATCAGTGTATTGGAAGAGTTGGGTGCTGAACGGAAATTTGGACAAACAATAGATCACTATGCACCTAATCTGAGGTATATGATCGAAACATGTTCGGATTATAATCAAAAACCCGGTGAAGTCAAAACATCATTTTTCGGTTAGTATCGCCTACAGTGGTGTCAGTATAATTTATTGAATCCCCATTTCCACAAATGATTTGAATTCCCCCCNCCCACCCACTCCAAGTAACCAAATAGTAGGCCCTGTTTAGAGTGATCAAGCGGGTTAGGTTGTTATCACATCTATTGGAAAGTCGTATGTTCGAATCCCATCACCCCATTCAAATTCCCCCTCCCTCCCTCTACGTCCCATGACAGATTTTCCTCTGCGTTAAAACTGATGGTACAATAGGGTATTCAAGAGAAGGAAATAAAAACGATTATTATTGTTGTTACGTGGATAGATCACGCAATCAGTAACTGATCAGCCGCTAACAGGTACACAACATTTAGTCAATTATTACCACCTCGTTCAGTTGAAGTTTGAATACATGCGCGAAACAGAATGGATTTCAAACAACACCATCGGCAGAAAATGACAATGATGACACAACCTCTCGCTTCTATGCAACAAAGAAAAAATACAGCACCGACAAGATATCAATTCCGGATTGTAGATGAGAACGCCTCCTTCAGATTCGTTCGTTACCGTATCGTTGAGTCTTCGGAATCAATCATTTGACCGAATCCGAACTACATTCTTAATGAACTAGTATCCTTTCCCAGACCACACTGAAAACAAGTTCGAGTTCTCCGTAAAATGACTACCGCGGTGTAATTGACAACCGACATATTTTTTACATTGCATGCGAACAATGAATTACAACCCGAATCTTTTCAAAATGATTAGTGTTCTACTGCTTGTTTCATTGTAGTTGACTGGTTTAACCAACGAAAGGGTTCACTCACTTGATTTTAGGCACCTTAATCCTACGTGAGGACAAATCGGCTACACGGATGAGTTAATGAAGATTCTTAGGAATAATATTTAAATGCGCATCCATTGTTTTCTTCGGGGGTGCGCAGGGTGGGAGGGACACCCTCATATGATGTTGGATTAGATTAGCACACGTCAAGATGTTTTTTATCAGTGAAATATTAGCATCCTTTTAAAACACAAACCTGCTCCATGCCAGACTGTTAGAAACCGGTAACAATTGTTCCCATTCCCATATCCTCTAATTCAGCCGCTCCAACCAAATCACTTGATTTCTCATTTGACCCTCATCAATTCGCATACGAATCAAACAGATTCACGTAGAATGAACTTTCCTCACTTGTGCATAAAACTGCCTTGAATTACTGTACGAAATCTGTTCTTTGTGTTTCTGGACTAATCATCTGCTTTTGATTCTATTCTTCGTTCCATCCTTCTTCGAAAACTGGACACCTTCGGCTATACCAGGCACCTATAAGTTTGGTTTGCTGATTACTTCTCCGGGAGAATTCAATGCACTAGGTTAGGTCGGAGGAAGGCCAAACCACCGCGGTTGATCGTCCGCGACCGCTCGATCAGGGATGCACTACCCACCTATTCAAGGTTACACTTGTGTGGTCATTCTCTTGTAAGCGAGCGCGAAACGGGCTCCACTGGTAGCAGACTTGAGGTACCATTTGAGAGGAGGGGGTACGCAAATGTTTCAAATGGTTTGTAATTTTTCATCCACTCTTTAGAGTTGTAGGGGTGCTCTGGTTAGGTGGCACCATCCCGCGTCATCATAATCACCACACCATCGTACCATTCGTATAGTTTTATTATTATTATTATTTCAACAAGAAACCCATTACAGAGAACTGACAAATGTGCCACAACATATGAACAGAAAGAAATCTGAAGAATGTGTTCATAGGTTGTGTGGGCGTTACTTCCCGGTTGCCCTGGACGAGGAGGGAGCATAGCCTCGGAGTCCCCACCCGAAGCCTTTGGCTAGAAAGCCAGACCCGCAGTCTATTGGAGGCCGGTGTCCAGTTCACTGAATCATGCGCCCTTCAGACGAGGTTAAACGCCCAAGGTGCCCAATACACCTTGATGCCCAATCGAGCCGGTGACCACTGCCGCGACCAGGAACGTGTGCTTATGACTCTCACTGAGTGTCTCTAACCATCGGTTACAATCATCCTGAGGTCCCCAGCCACGGAGCCGAACGAGACCTATGCGACCCAGACTCCTGGTTAGGGTTTTTATACCCTCATGTCAGGTCTTAGCTTGACCACCCTTGACTTTTTTCCATCCACTACACTGAGTCGAAAGCCGCTTTCAGATTCAGGAAGACAGAGATGGTGGGTCTAC